ACCAGTCTGCCCCTTCACCGGGGGACTGGGGGGAGCCGACTTGGGGGCTCCCTTGGCCGCTTTCTTCTGCGCGGTCTTGGCTCTCCTCCCCAACACCGTCGCGTAGGACTCGACGTCCGCGGCGGGTTGGGGGGGCCGTCGTTTCCCCTCCTCGGGGGGTCCGCCTCCCTCCCCTCTTGCTCCTGCTGCTGGGGGGGGCTTTCCCTTCTTCTTCTTCCCCTTCTTCTTCCTCCTGGTCCCCTCCAGCAGCATTCACATCCATCTGCGGGGGATTTGCCCCCCTGGATTCGCTCCCGCGGTCGGCCCCGGGAACCGGGCGGCCCCTCGCGGCGCCTCCTCCTCCCTTTCGGGGGTTGGAGGGGTCCGCTGCGGGGCCGTTATAACGGGCCCCGCCGCCGACCAAGGAGCGTATCATCTCCTCCATCCTATGGAGGGCCCAGCCCATTACCTCCTGGATCCTCCCCTCCACCATCTCCCCCGTAAGCTCCCCCGCCCTCGCAGGCAGGGGCTTCCCGGTCCGCTTTGGCGGGGGATGGGGGGACCCTCAATCCTTTCCTCGACCAGGACGGAATAGTTCGCGTTGGTGGGCGGCTGAACAGAGCTCCTGTTCCCTTCTCTGTTCGACACCCTATACTTCTCTCGTCCCATCCACTAGTCACGCTTATTGTTAATCAAGCTCATTTACGGGCTTTACATGCCGGCCCTCAGCTAACATTGAGTATTCTGCGCCGCGACTTTTGGATACTCCGGGCGCGCACTCTTGTGAAGGCGGTCATTCACAGGTGTGTTGTGTGTACCCGCGAACGCAACGCGATCCCCACACAAATCATGGGAGATCTTCCCGAAGCGAGGGTGTCGTCCGCCGCTCGCAGTTTCCTGCACTCCGGTCTCGATTACGCAGGACCGATACAAATTCGCGCCTCAGCCGGTCGAGGCATTACCTCGCGCAAAGCCTACATCGCTCTCTTCATTTGTTTAGCTACGAAAGCTATACATTTGGAGTTAGTCGGCGACTACTCAACTCAAGCTTTCTTAAACGCCTTTTCTCGCTCTTGCGCTCGTCGCGGTCTCCCGCAGACCATGTATTCGGACAACGGGACAACTTTCGTCGGCGCAGACCGAGAATTGACTCTGGCCTATCGATCAGCATTACACGATCCGAACTTCTTGAATATGACCGCCTCGGACAACGTTACATGGAATTTCGTTCCCCCGTCTGCGCCCCACTTCGGCGGATTATGGGAGGCGGGAGTACGCAGCGTGAAAACTCATCTGCGCCGAGTTTTGGGCAGTCATAGGTTAACGTTCGAGGAATTCTCCACGCTGTTGTGCAGGATCGAGGCGTGCTTAAATTCACGTCCGATCGCGCCTCTCTCCGATACGCTGGAGGACTACGAATATCTCACCCCCGGTCATTTCCTGGTGGGCTCTGCGCTTGTCGTAAGTCCGGAGCCATCCTTGCTCGACCTTCATGAAAATCGGCTTTCGCGATGGCAACTCGTGCGCCATGTAACCGAGCGATTCTGGAAGTTGTGGAGTACCGATTATGTCAACACTTTACAACAACGATCAAAATGGCGCAAGGTGCAACCTCAAATTCGTCTCGGGCAACTAGTCCTCCTGCGTAATTCGACTTTACCTCCCTGCAAATGGGAACTTGGCCGAGTGACGCAATGTCACCCCGGGCCTGACGGTTTCGTTCGGGTTGTCACCGTTAAGACAGCCGCCTCGGAATATCGACGACCGATTGTAAAACTGCGTGTTACCTGTCAGAAGCGAGGCGGCGAGTAATTAACAAAAAATATATAATTGAAAGTGCTGAGTTTTAGGCGTATCGCGAACCTAACTTGTGCGGTTCCTTTTAACTTACACTTAAGCTACTCATGTCAACGTGCGACTGAAGGAAAGGGTTGACGAAAATCACAATGCTTTCCAAACAATGCGTAGACCTAATTCACGTTACGATCCGTAATCTTCATCAACCCTTGTAATTTAGTCGCGCGTCACGTTACCCCATATGATCTTGTTATTCTCTTGTAATCATCGCATCCGAGGTCTTTCGGAACTGTCGTCCGAGGTGGGCGGTA